CAAACAATTTATAATCAATAAAAACATAATACAGTATAAAATACAATTATTAAATATAATAAAATCCAAGCGATGGTGATTGTCAGGCCTAGCCCAAGGAACTCCAAGAGACAATGCAAAATCAGTTCAGCTATGTTTATTGGCTACAATCTCTAGCAAGAATCTTCCCAGACTGAAACCCCAGCTCCCAAGTCAGCCAGCCGCAACAGTGTGAATTCCTCAGGGAGGTGCCAATCCCATCCTCTTGTAGTGATAATATTTCAGCCTGTGACCAGATAATATCGGTCAAAGGTAAGACTAGGGAACCAGCCATCCCCAAAACTGACTATTCCCGAGTTATGTATTTGACAAGATGCACCAATTGCCAGTTACTCACCAGGCACAATTTAAGACACTAGTGTTGACCTTTAACACTCTTAGTGGTTTAGGACCTAACTGTCTGAGGAACCATCTCTGCTGCTTTTAACCTATCAAGTTATTTAGATCACCAGGAGAGACCCATTTGGAGATTCCCCTGCTGCTAGAAGCTTGCTCATCTGTATATGGAAGAGGGCCTTTTCCTTTGTGCCTATGAAATCCATTTTCTAAGCAGGTACCCTTGCCCCCCTACTCTCCTAGCATTTAGGAAAAAATGGCAGAAATCTCTCTCTTTCACCAAGTGTTTAATTATTGCTTGAACTGACCTTCAAGTTGCTAATTTTAATTTTGCTCTGATTTTAATTATATAGCAGAATGTCAGGATTTCAATTAGATAAATATCACAAATAGAAATTAAATTAATAGGAATTGAAAGAAACCATCAGAAGACTGGGAAATGAGTAATGAACATATTTATCTACTGTAATTCCTTATCAATGATTGAAGAAATGCTATTTTTTTTCTTTTTAAAGAATTGGGATAATAAATATTGCTAATATTGCTTCAAATCTTCCCAAAGTTGTTGCTTTAATTTGAGTGCCTTGATTTAGTATATCTCTAGGTTTGTCTACCGATTTTCCCTTAGTATTATTACTCCTTTATACCAGGAAGCATATATTCAGTGAGAAGTCTTCTCAAGGATACCTAATAAAGACCTTGTGTTATTCTTCTGCTTCATGCAAATTACCTTATTCCCTCCTGATAGCAAGTGACTTTGAAACAAGACTGCTGTTTTTAATCCTAACAGTATCTGCTTCTCTGCAGTGTATTTAATTAAAACCAGGTAGCCTGTCCTGATGAGATGTTCAATGTAGGGGCAGCTCTTTAAGAATCTTACCCCAGAAAACTGTCTTGTCCACATACCAGCTGCTGAAAGTTGAATAGGATGTTGATATTGCATCCAGAGTTAATTCTGCCATTTACTTGTTATACAATTTAAAACTGAATACTTCAGATTTTTTAAAAATAATATTTCCCCAGGACCTCATATAAGAATTGATTCTGGTTTTTCCAGTGCAGGTTGCTTCAGTGCTAGCTATGAATGTGAAGACAGCCTTTCCTTGTTTATTTATACAATTTATATTTTCATGGTCTGATCTATAAGAGAAATTTCAGTAAAGATACATAGCTAAAAATATAGAAGCAACTTTAAGATAACAATAAAATCAAAAGTTCTTTTAGGCAGGTAGGTTTTTACTTAACTCTTTCTAGCAGTGTGAATTTTTGTATGGACTAAAATGTACATAAAATCTTTAAAATGCTTTTTGAGTAAAATTTATTGAAAGGGCTCTTTGAAACGTTTACGTCAAGTACATATAGCAATTGCAAGCATATAGTCAGTCCTTGAGTATTATAAACATTTGGCCTTTTTATGTGTAATATGGTAAAGTTTTTTATGTTGTTCTCAGTAATCTTGGGTTAGGAATTTTTTAGGAACCATCTTCCTCTTGAAGTTGATTAAAAGTTCTCTGTATGTACTTGTCTGGTTTAACTGAATCATATTTCTGTAAGAAATCCAGTGATATAAATAAGACTTATTGACTTTTTAAAAACTTAATGTTTATTGCTACAGGATAAAAAATGGATTCTCAATCATGAAGATGTCACTCTGGGAGAATTACTTGGCAAAGTAAGTAATTATCAAAACGGTGGGGAAAACCCTAAATATTAAACCTTATTGGGAAGCACCTTCTTCTTTCAAGATATAGTGGTTATTAAGCCTTCTCAATTCATGATAGAACATCTGTTTTAGCTTATGCTCCAATGTGTCTCTTTGATTTGGGGTCTTTGCAGAATATCAGCTACAACAGTGAGAAGTCAGGAGGAATCAAGCAAGACAGGACTGTAGGGATTCACAGTAGATTTGAGCGTAGATCATTGAGGGCAATATGTGGTCTACTTATTACCACAGTTCTACATCTGTGAACCATAGATCTTAATAAGATATTGTTATGAGGTACACTGAGGTAGAATGTTAATATCAATTTTGATTTACATTCATTGAAATTAATGATTGAGAATTTATTTGCTTGCTTGCCTTACTGAATTTCTATGTCACTCCAGTCAATTCTGACCAACTGATTTTCATCAGTTCATTGCCAGATTTCTCTAGTTTGAGGGAAAGATAATGTTTAATCTCATTTTGCTAACATTTTATTATTAAATCTCACCAGTTAGTTCCAGTAGTGCATTTTAAAAGTTTATTGATTCTAATGCAAGTTTTAATGCAATCTCCCAACTGAAATAAGTGAAGTTTAACTTTAATAATAAAACTTAGTGAGATACTACATTTAATTTTTAATGAAGATTATGCAGAATCAGAATAATAACAACCAACTTTACAAGCTTATTTGATTTACAAGTTTCCTGTTATCTGTTCCTTTACTGGGTTTATATTCTTCTTTTTACTTTTGTGTAGTTATTTCTTCTATTTGTTTACTGTTTCTTTCTCACCATTCAGCAGCCAATACATTTTTGCTCAAAGCCAGCTCAATAGACAATTTTAATAAATAATAAAAATATTTGCTATAAATTTACAGATTTATGAGATGCTCAAATAAATAGTTGGGACTTAGGGAAAAATGATAAAACCGCTTTATTTGATTAATAAATATGTCTCCCTCATTTAGAGAGAAGGAGCACACAGCTAAGGGAAGCTAAATTTGCTGCATCTTCCTTGATTTCTTATTTTGAGTCCTAATATTTGTACTAGATAGAGGTTAAGGGAAATGTTAGGAGGGAAACATGAGAAAGGAAGTAGGCATAACAAGATAAAAAAGGATATGGACAATTTCCTTCCCTGGCATGTTTCCTGTTTTTTTTTCAGGAAACATACAGTACTGTGCAAAAGTTTTAGGCAGGTATGAAAAAATGCTGTAAAGTAAGAATGC